ACCCTTGGAGAACCCAGACTCAGTCGGGGCCAGTTCTCCTCTGGCCAACGAATAAACAGTGTGTGATTATGATTCGGGGACGATGAGGCCTTCACAGGGGAGAGTCTAGTTAACACAAGCTCTGCTGACACTTCAGGGATGTGTTGTGGCCGTGTCCAGGCGCAGGTCCAACATCTGATCTGGATACGGCCCGGGTCCGGCTGATTACAGTTCACCTCGGAATAAACAGAAAAACTAAAATTAGCATAGATGCCATCCTTCTTATGATGTAGCGAGTACATCTGGTGTTTAAGAAAGTGTCCCCAGTTCCAGCTGACTTATGCAGCCTAATAATCATTTAACTGATTTGAAAAATAGGAATGTATAGTGTTATATGTGAATGCCAGGTTGAAGAGATGTGTTTTTAGTCTAGATTTAAACTGACAGAGTGTGTCCCAGCTCCGGTCCACAAAGCCCCTTTTCCCTCAGGGCCGCAAAGATCTGGATTAAAGACAAGGGCCACACATGGGCTATAACAGGAGGCCAGCTGTGTGTGTGTGTGTGTGTGTGTGTGTGTGTGTTGTTGCTACTTAGAACTTTTAAATACCTAATAAATATAATATTTGACTGCACACACATGACTGACATTGAATGCGATTTCTGTCTGTCTACATTATTTACAGTTGATTCAGGGACGTGCACAGGAATTTTGTGGGGCAGTTGCTCTGACCTGAAAAAAGGGCACTACTCCCGAAACTCACGGGCTATATGAAGGAATATATTCAGTTGAATTTTGCCCATACAAATTGCCTTATCTGATCGTGTTTATTTCCAAACGCAATGCCTCATATTATGGTCTTATTATTATTTATAAAGATTGCAAACGTCAAAGATGACAGGTTTATGATATACAACTTTGTAAAAAGTATACAAAATGTATTAACAATATGTTAAATGTCACCAAAATACACATGAGAAAAAGAGTTCCTCATATTATTGTTTATTGTTTTTTAATTATTATTATTATTATTATTTTATTTTTTAAATAAATAATCTGGATTGAATTGACAGATGGGGAAAAACTCGCTTCTAATAAAAAAAAAAAACCTTAGATTTCGGAAAAAATACAATCCTTTTTTAACCTTTTGGCTTCCCGTACATTCAATTGTGCTTTTTGCTCATCTGGGCAACTACGCATGATTTGTAGTATGATTGCGTAAAGGGAACAGGAATTCCGGTAAGGAACAGAATCGACTGCTACACCCAGTGCCGATCCTGACCTCCCCCTGGGGCCCTAAGCAAAATTCTGCTAAGTGGGCCTCTACCTGACCTGTGATGTCTTGAGCTATGTAAACCATTTGCCATTGCCACAATCACACCTGACACTTCAGCGCTCCCATACAATCCTCCCTCCTTTAAACAAAACAGTCAAAGAATAAGTACAACAATATAGAACAGAATGAGGTTCAAACACACAATATTTATTGAATAGAGTATTTTCTATAGAATGTTAAGATAATAAGTGAATATTATTAAGTAAGTGAATATTAACGTAAACATAAATAAGAAGAAAATAATAAATTATAACCCTGAGCTTTGGCTTTTGGGATTAACTTTGGTTCTTTCTACAGCCTGGGCATTTTCGGCATCAGTATGATTTTTTTTATTTTTTTATTATGCATGTTGAAGCAATTCTTGATTTATGGTTATTATTTACTGAGGGATGTGCATCCATTTTTACCATTATGTCCAGCTAATCAACATTTTTAATTCAATATAGCCTATAAATCAATAGTCAATCAATGTCAAATTGTCAATACATTGCTTTCTATCTTGCATAATTAGTGCAGTTGTTTAGAGTTTTTAACTACACTGAGACTAGATAATCAGTGTCTTGTTTTAAAAGTATAATGTGTACTTTGATTGGGAGTGCCATCATTCACGTGCATGTATTGTACAGTATGTCTGCTCTCCACATATTTCTGCTTGAAAAATGCGAGTTTCATTTAGGCAACGCGCATATGAACGCATGATAACACACGCGACGCGGTTATGTTTTCCGAGCTGCAGTAAACAAACACCGTTGCACTTTGTCGTTTATCAAAATCAAACGTAATAAATAATTGTATTTTACTCTCACTTTTGTCAGGCACAAAGTGATGCAAGAGATGCACTGCCTGCCCAGCTAGGTTAGCAAGACCGAAAAACATCCAACTTTGCTGACATCAAACTTAGAGAGGAGAGAACACAAGTTTACCTGATTGTTGTTCCCGCAATTCACTCTCATGGTTTTTTTCTTCTTCCTCTTTTCGTGACCAGAAGGATAGTTTCGCTTCATTTTGTCGTGGATGTTGTAGCTACACATTTGACGGCGCGCTATGACTATGACACGAGATGGAGGCGTGGCCTTAAGTAATTTGCGTGGCCCTACGCCGGTCGCGTGCAGTCTATGGTCGCGTGCAGCGTTTGCCCTTCATACTGACTTTCACTTTCGGTGCCCGAATGGAAGTGAATGAGGCTTTGCGATTTTTTTTTTAATCTAGGCCTACGTGAAATTCTGCATCCATTGCACGATTTAATTTTTTTCTCGGAAGGGCAACTTGAGTGAGAAGGGCATATGGGCAGTTGCCCGGGCAACCTGAGCAACCCCCCTGTGCACGTCCCTGAGTTGATTTAATCCCAATGTTGATTGGATACGGGCAATAAGACGTGAAGCATCAGCTGGAAGAATGGGTTACTTGTGGGATCCTGACACTCAGTATGCACTAAACATACACTACGTGTGCAGTAAACATTGTCACTTAGTCAAATATCAGTTTTATATATTATATTTCTGCAAGCCAAGCTATACCGGTCGCCGATTACGTTCCTCTCCAGTGGACGTAAGTTAGTTCTCAGAGTAATATTCAATTGCCTGAATCCACTTTTGCGTCCTTAAACGCTTTTTGGGGGGGGCTATATGAATATTCATATATATAGTCATGTTTAATTCACTGACAATATATAAAAATGTATAGGAGACATTAAAAACTTGTAAAGGAATACATAAAGGATCTGCAATATATGGAAGTTATTTTTTTCTTGCAACATTAATACGTTTTTATGTACTTATGGGACTGAATAAAATATACATTTTAAAATGTTTGTCTTAGTCAGCATCCAATAAAAGGTACCAGACAAATACTTGTATTTATCCATCAAATAAGTTATTTTTTTGTCCAAACTGGGTTCAGAGATGATCAGTTGTGTGTGAGTTAAGATGTCAGTTCCTCTTCTTTCTTTCTTCTTTAACCACACGTGTTTCTCTAATAGCATGTGTGGTTAAACTAACTGAGTTCTCACACTCATCAGTAACATGTTCCCAAACCTCAACAGTGAGTTCATCGCTCTGAAAATACTACTGAAAATATGAAGTCACACTAGTTCCAGTTAATTAGACTAAAGGTTATTAAAACAGTTCTGAAAGCGCTAGAACTCAAAGCCAGAACACCAAAGAGGACAAAAGACAACAATTAGGCAGAAACATGTGTGTGTTAGTTTGGCCATACTGGTTTTAGATATTGAGAATTGAGAAAGCCATAGATATATTGGCATAGGCCTATTTTTTTTTTTTTTTTTTAAGTTACATTGACAATGCATACAATTTCCAGGTCTAGAAAATCTATTGCTATCGTGTATATTCAGGTTTCCAAGCTGTTTTCCAAACCGTTTTTTTAAAAAAAAAGCTGATTTTTGTTGTTGTTTTAGCTTATTTTAATGTTCGTTTTTTTCTTCATACATTTTGTACTGTTTTGATGATGTGAATATATGGTTTACGTGTCAACGTCTGTGCTTTTGTAGTTCAAAGAACCACTGAAACAGACCCTGAAATGTAAAATATCTATTGAGAGCATCAAAACTGCACAAGATGTTCTGCAGAATCCACTGCATCTGTGTCTGTAAAGGTTTGAGCCCATACAATCAGAGGTTCCTCAGGAGGTTTCTTCACAAGAAAATATGTGCAATGATGGAAAATATATTTCACCATAAATACCCACGTTCAACATGGGCTTTATTATTGATTAATATAATATAATATTACAAGCATTGCTGAAAGCCATGAATTAATAATAAAGACATATTATTTCCCCTTATTTCAAATCTTTTTGTGAACAGTGTGTTTGAAAACTCTATCAATAGAGTTTTTAAGGGTAGATAATCATTTTACTAGGAAAATGCACAAGAAAAATGGGCTCTTTGTAAACAATGTTTTATGACTTCTTTTTTTATTTTGGTCCATAGGGTTAGAAAAAAACAAAAGCTCAAAACAAACTGTAGGCCTATATATATTCATCTAATATAAGTGATCAGGACAACTCGCAGTGACCCAAAAGGAGTAGACAGAAGCGATTGCTTATTACTCATACTGTACATTTCTCACAATTTCAATATTTATGTTCATTCAGCTTCAATTCAGTCTTTTTTCCCACCCATTATCATATTAAACAACAGAATACGGCCATTCAACAGTCTCCTATCAACGGCCTCTTAACAAATAATTATTTTAACAAAATGTAAAGAATAGCATTAATTGGGCATTAAAAAGACATGTTAAGGAATAAATAAAGCATCTGCAATATATGGAAGTTAATTAATTTACTCTTGCGATATTAATAGGGTTATTAATGCGATAATGTACAAATACCTAGCATCAAATAAAAGGTACCAGACGAATACTTGTATTTATCCATTAAATAAGTTATTTTAGTTTTACCAGGTTCAGATCAAACTGGGTTCAGAGATGATCAGTTCTGTGTGAGTAAAGATGTCAGTTCCTCTTCTTTCTTTTTTCTTTAACCACACGTGTTTCTCTAATAGCATGTGTGGTTAAACTAACTGAGTTCTCACACTCATCAGTAACATGTTCCCAAACCTCAACAGTGAGTTCATCGCTCTGAAAATACTGCTGAAAATGTGAAGTCACACTAGTTCCACATTGCTAAATTAAAACTAGACCAAAGGTTATTAAAACAGCACTAGAACTCAAAGCCAGAACACCAAGAGGACAAAAGACAACAATCCATTACAATTTGTTTGTTAACATGTAAAAGACATTGAAAGTATTAACAATGAATGAACCCATTAGTTATATTAGATTGATATTGCTCTGCTCATGTGTGTTTTGTATAATTATTTGACTGATGTGTTCTTGTTCACAGAGGCATAAAGTTCACTGCAGTTCTCCTGAGCTCCAGCTTTTGCTCCTCTGATGGAAGCATACGTCACTCTATCATCACAGCGAACCTGAATGAACATCACAGTTGTTTCAACCCACAATTATTACAGCATGTTGTCTGAGCTCAATTCATGAAGAACTGCATATAAGAAGAAAACACAAACTATCATGTTGAGTGAAGCTGGACAACATCAAGGAAGCGTTTGCTCACCTTGTTCTTTTTGCCTCGTTTTTTACTGTACGCAGTGACTTCAGTATAAGTCACATCATCTGTCTGCTCCTAAACATCAATGGAAATATGGAAAAAATCAATATTCATCCATCAATAATATTTTACTCAGGTTCTGCAAATGTTCAGGTAATATATGTGTGAAATGTGTGTCCTGGCAATTTCCCATAAATGTTTTGTGAAAATCTATTATACAGACATAATGTTATGATGACAGATCCTATTGTAACATGACAGGATGTTTGACTTGACCCACACAACAGGAACAACACATGATGAAATCCAGGGCAATTAGTAACTGTAGCACAACACACTCGTACGTTTACACGACAACAATATGCTTAAAAAGAAGAAGTCTTTCCATTGAATTTTCCGCGTACAGACGACACTATTGTCAAAATTATCCCCATTCACACAGATCCACAAAAACAACTAAAAACACTGTATTCTTCTGCCAGGCCACTAGATGGCGATGAAACACTATAGACTGAACACGTAATACGCATGTGCATCGCCTTATCTCTTCGCGTTTTTGTTGTTTACACAGAGATCGTTTTTAAAAACTTGCACTTTGAAACCCGTTTTCAAACTTTGTGATTTCAGGCACGCAAAACGCCGTTGTCGTGTAAAATGAACGGCCAAAACGCATAAAAAGTTTTATGTTTTTGGTTGAAAACGGTGTCGAGTAAACAGCCCCTGAATTACAACGAACTGGCAATACATGAGGGAAAGAAAACACAATGGCTGCATTCGAAAACGTAGGCAGTGACTAGGTGCCTCGCTGTCCTATCAGACAATGACTTTGCAGGCAGCATTTGCACACGAGAGTTCCTTGTAGCGACAACGAGAATGCAACCCACACGAGTGAAGCGTTCGTACATAATCAAACACAAAGGGGCTGCATATTCCAGATCACCCGAGGCTATGAGCCAAGAAGACCTTTTGTCGTTTAACTAAAGGAAGGATGTTGTCAATGTTTTATAACTTGGCAAGAACAGATCTGTTCAGAAATGGTGAAACAAGAGGCCCTAACAAGAAGTCACCTGACCCCTGCGACTAAACAGACTGAACCATTCAGGGTCCCGAGCTAGTTTTCCCCTCATCAATTATTATATCTCCTTAAGGCTGAAAAAGTGGACTTGCATACAAAATACCCTTTGTCTTGAAGACAACCATTTGCAAACTAAACCCTCACGTGGTACACACCACGGATGAGACAAATGCTGCCCATAAGGATACACACACACACACACACACACACACACACACACACACACACATAAGGACTTTCCTCCAATTCTCCAATACCAATAAAACTCATCCCAGAACAAATCTTGACTGACCCATAATCAAAATCATGTAACATAACATAATTATATATTGTGTTTACAACCCCTGTATGTGTCTATTCTGCTTAGATCACATCTAAGTCATGTAATTGTTTTAAATATTAGAGATACTGGAATGAAAGTGTCGTGTTTCCTATCATTATGCTCGTATGTGTTTAATTCAAAAGATGGCTCGATTGAAATCTGTGTAAAAATGTTTATGTTCTTAAAATGGAAATTATGTCTAAACTGAATCCTATGTTCAAGCTGATGACTAAGCAGACCACAGAGAACACATGATTCACGAAGAGAGAGGGGGGGGGGGGGGGATAGGAAAGACCCCCTTCTCAAATAACCATATAGTATCTTATTGTCCGAATTCCAAATTCCTCCAGGAGGCGGGAAAAAACATTTTGAGTTTAAAATCTTAGACCCGAACACAGAATCCTGCTCTTGTGATCCGCTCTCTTGTGATGCTCTTGCCCTCTGCTCTCTTGTGATGCTCTCTTTCGGCAGAACAAGCCGGGTGGAGCCGACGATGGTTATAGTAACCATGTAGACGCAGAGACAAATGACCCAAATCAAGATATGGGTTAAAACAGATTTAATTCAAGCCATCTCGTCACACTTTTCTTTCTTTTCTTAGTTTGTTTCTTTTCCGTTAAAAGTCTCGGTTCTAAGTTAAGTGTTGCTGCAAAGTTTAGTTTAAAACGTTTCAACTGCAAAACCAGCTTCCAACTTCAAAGACTTTCATCCATCCGCCAACACACCACGTGACTGGCTGCCCAAGATCTATCAAGCACGAGGAGACCGCCAGCCAAACCACGGACCCGGGAACCCCCGTCACGACAAAAGGGAACCCCAAAGCAAGGACAAGCAAGTACCTCCAGACTTTTAGCTGAAACTGCAGGTGCATTTTAATATCAAATTGAATTACCCGCCTAAGAAACGATACAAGGGTGAAATTAATTATTGATGGTTCGTTCAGGTCATGTCTTTTAAGTGCATATAGAAACTTGGGATCTCACCATCTAACTCCTAAAACTCATTCTTCCTCACTCTCTGTCTTTCTTCAACTTGTATGAATGCGTGTGCGTGTGTTTGTGTTATATTAGTTTTATGTGTGTTAGTCATAGGCTTATAATCAATCAAGTATTATTTGTATTTGAAAAGAGAAGCATTACTTGTGTTATGTGCTTACAGATTTATTGTCTTGAACTTCGATCTAAGTTACCTATGCTTTGACCCTTGATTTATTTCTTAATTTAGCTGTTAGCTGGGAATTATTCTTTCTTGGCCAAGAAGATATTATATTTCCTAGAATTAATAATTGTTTATGCTTTCCGTTCATTGGATGAACTGATAAACTGATTATACTATTGATTTTGCTACAGTAAATTCTGAAAATAATTCAATTATTAATTATTGATCATAATCCGTTATGAATAATAATTAATTATATTTATACGTGCGTATAATCGCTACATCCTCACGAAACTGATTTCAGACTTCTGCTATGGTTTAATGATCTACAGAAAAATAGAGCGAGCTTTGGTGAAAACTAAGTGAATATTTAATGACTACAATACTAATTTCTCGCTAGAAATGACATCACAAGTGGAAACCGTTGATCAAAAATTTACATTTACACACAAACAGCCGCAACTTTCAGACGCCATCTTAATTAGTCTAGCTCAACTGTCACAGAATGGAAAGCACAGGATTGTGGGATATCAAAGGCAGTGAAGGATAGATCTGTGCTGCCTTCAAAACTCGATCGTCGATCGGCTGAGTCTGATCCTATACCCTAGTGCGTCACACATCGACAGCGGCTGAGTCTAATCCTATACCCTAGTGCGTCTACACATCGACGGCGGCTGAGTCTGATCCTATACTCTAGTGCGTCTTCACATCGACGGCGGCTGAGTCTAATCCTATACCCTAGTGCGTCTACACATCGACAGCGGCTGAGTCTAATCCTATACCCTAGTGCGTCTACACATCGACAGCGGCTGAGTCTAATCCTATACCCTAGTGCGTCTACACATCGACAGCGGCTGAGTCTAATCCTATACCCTAGTGCGTCTTCACATCGACGGCGGCTGAGTCTAATCCTATACCCTAGTGCGTCTACACATCGACAGCGGCTGAGTCTAATCCTATACCCTAGTGCGTCACACATCGACAGCGGCTGAGTCTAATCCTATACCCTAGTGCGTCTACACATCGACGGCGGCTGAGTCTAATCCTATACCCTAGTGCGTCTACACATCGACGGCGGCTGAGTCTAATCCTATACCCTAGTGAGTCTACACAACGACGGCGGCTGAGTCTGATCCTATACCCTAGTGCGTCTTCACATCGACGGCGGCTGAGTCTAATCCTATACCCTAGTGCGTCTACACATCGACAGCGGCTGAGTCTAATCCTATACCCTAGTGCGTCTACACATCGACGGCGGCTGAGTCTAATCCTATACCCTAGTGCGTCTACACATCGACGGCGGCTGAGTCTAATCCTATACCCTAGTGAGTCTACACAACGACGGCGGCTGAGTCTGATCCTATACCCTAGTGCGTCTTCACATCGACGGCGGCTGAGTCTGATCCTATACCCTAGTGCGTCTACACATCGACGGCGGCTGAGTCTAATCCTATACCCTAGTGCGTCTACACATCGATAGTGGCTGAGTCTGATCCTATACCCTAGTGCGTCTTCACATCGACGGCGGCTGAGTCTAATCCTATACCCTAGTGAGTCTACACATTGACGGCGGCTGAGTCTAATCCTATACCCTAGTGCGTCTACACATCAACGGCGGCTGAGTCTAATCCTATACCCTAGTGCGTCTACACATCGATGGCGGCTGAGTCTAATCCTATACCCTAGTGCGTCTACACATCAATGGTGGCTGAGTCTAATCCTATACCCTAGTGCGTCTACACATCGACGGCTGAGTCTAATCCTATACCCTAGTGCGTCTACACATCAACGGCTGAGTCTAATCCTATACCCTAGTGCGTCTACACATCAACGGCTGAGTCTAATCCTATACCCTAGTGCGTCTACACATCAACGGCGGCTGAGTCTAATCCTATACCCTAGTGCGTCTACACATCGATGGCGGCTGAGTCTAATCCTATACCCTAGTGCGTCTACACATCAATGGTGGCTGAGTCTAATCCTATACCCTAGTGCGTCTACACATCGACGGCTGAGTCTAATCCTATACCCTAGTGCGTCTACACATCGATGGCAGCTGAGTCTAATCCTATACCCTAGTGCCTCCACACATCGACGGCTGAGTCTAATCCTATACCCTAGTGCGTCTACACATCGACGGCGGCTGAGTCTAATCCTATACCCTAGTGCGTCACACATCGACAGCGGCTGAGTCTAATCCTATACCCTAGTGCGTCTACACATCGACGGCGGCTGAGTCTAATCCTATACCCTAGTGCGTCTACACATCGACGGCGGCTGAGTCTAATCCTATACCCTAGTGCATCTACACATCGATGGCAGCTGAGTCTGATCCTATACCCTAGTGCATCTACACATCGACGGCGGCTGAGTCTGATCCTATACCCTAGTGCGTCTACACATCGACGGCGGCTGAGTCTAATCCTATACCCTAGTGCATCTACACATCGATGGCAGCTGAGTCTGATCCTATACCCTAGTGCATCTACACATCGACGGCGGCTGAGTCTGATCCTATACCCTAGTGCGTCTACACATCGACGGCGGCTGAGTCTAATCCTATACCCTAGTGCGTCTACACATCGACGGCGGCTGAGTCTAATCCTATACCCTAGTGCGTCTACACATCGACGGCGGCTGAGTCTAATCCTATACCCTAGTGCATCTACACATCGATGGCAGCTGAGTCTGATCCTATACCCTAGTGCATCTACACATCGACGGCGGCTGAGTCTGATCCTATACCCTAGTGCATCTACACATCGATGGCAGCTGAGTCTGATCCTATACCCTAGTGCGTCAACACATCGACGGCGGCTGAGTCTGATCCTATACCCTAGTGCGTCTACACATCGATGGCGGCTGAGTCTAATCCTATACTCTAGTGCGTCTACACATCGATGGCGGCTGAGTCTGATCCTATACCCTAGTGCGTCTACACATCGATGGCGGCTGAGTCTGATCCTATACCCTAGTGCGTCTACACATCGATGGCGGCTGAGTCTGATCCTATACCCTAGTGCGTCTACACATCGATGGCGGCTGAGTCTGATCCTATACCCTAGTACGTCTACACATCGATGGCGGCTGAGTCTAATCCTATACCCTAGTGCGTCTACACATCGATGGCGGCTGAGTCTGATCCTATACCCTAGTGCGTCTACACATCGACGGCGGCTGAGTCTGATCCTATACCCTAGTGTGTCTACACATCGACGGCGGCTGAGTCTGATCCTATACCCTAGTGCGTCTACACATCGATGGCGGCTGAGTCTAATCCTATACCCTAGTGCGTCTACACATCGACGGCGGCTGAGTCTAATCCTATACCCTAGTGCGTCTACACATCGATGGCGGCTGAGTCTGATCCTATACCCTAGTGCGTCTACACATCGACGGTGGCTGAGTCTGATCCTATACCCTAGTGCATCTACACATCGACGGTGGCTGAGTCTGATCCTATACCCTAGTGCATCTACACATCGATTGCGGCTGAGTCTGATCCTATACCCTAGTGCGTCTACACATTGACGGTGGCTGAGTCTAATCCTATACCCTAGTGCGTCTACACATCGATGGCGGCTGAGTCTGATCCTATACCCTAGTGCGTCTACACATCGATGGCGGCTGAGTCTGATCCTATACCCTAGTACGTCTACACATCGATGGCGGCTGAGTCTAATCCTATACCCTAGTGCGTCTACACATCGACGGCGGCTGAGTCTAATCCTATACCCTAGTACGCTGAAGCGCCCAGCGTTTTTTACTAGTCTGATCCTATACCCTAGTGTGTCTACACATCGACGGCGGCTGAGTCTGATCCTATACCCTAGTGCGTCTACACATCGATGGCGGCTGAGTCTAATCCTATACCCTAGTGCGTCTACACATCGATGGCGGCTGAGTCTAATCCTATACCCTAGTGCGTCTACACATCGACGGCGGCTGAGTCTAATCCTATACCCTAGTGCGTCTACACATCGATGGCGGCTGAGTCTGATCCTATACCCTAGTGCATCTACACATCGACGGTGGCTGAGTCTGATCCTATACCCTAGTTCGTCTACACATCGATGGCGGCTGAGTCTAATCCTATACCCTAGTGCGTCTACACATCGACGGCGGCTGAGTCTAATCCTATACCCTAGTGCGTCTACACATCGATGGCGGCTGAGTCTAATCCTATACCCTAGTGCGTCTACACATCGACGGCGGCTGAGTCTAATCCTATACCCTAGTGCGTCTACACATCGATGGCGGCTGAGTCTGATCCTATACCCTAGTGCATCTACACATCGACGGTGGCTGAGTCTGATCCTATACCCTAGTGCATCTACACATCGATGGCGGCTGAGTCTGATCCTATACCCTAGTGCGTCTACACATTGACGGTGGCTGAGTCTAATCCTATACCCTAGTGCGTCTACACATCAATGGCGGCTGAGTCACGGCTAAGGCCGTGTGTCCACCATAGCGTTTTTTCACGCAGATGGCATATTTTTTCAATTGTTTTCAATGGGAGCGCCCCGTTTTTTAAACGCCATGAGCGTAACGAGGCGCTGATCTTTTTTTTCACGCTGAAGCGCCCAGCGTTTTTTACTAGTCGCCGAGAGTTGAAGAAGTTTCAACTTTGGGTAAAACGCAGTGCTCATCACTGTCACTTTTTACCCAGCCGTCCAATCACAATGGAGGAGGGGCGGTACAAATACCACACTGACCAACCGCCACATTCTGCTTGTACAACGTCAACAGATGACAACAACAAGCACAAAAACGGAACCAAATATTTTAAAACAAGAAATATGTGTGAAATTAGATACTAGTAAGTAGTAACACTCTCAAGCGCCCATAGCTAGGCATTTTCAGCAGAGCGCCTAGTGTTTTCAGCTGGCTAAAAACGCTTTGCTGGATACGCGGCCTAATGCTCTACTTTACTTTTTACTTTACTTTATCAACTTTATTAATCCCACAAGGGGCAATTAGTTAAGAGCAGCATGTATACAACAGTACATAACACAGATCACACACATTTCTCACAACATACAAGCAGTCTATATGTCCACTTTTAAAAACCCCAAAGAACCCTACACAGAGTTTAAAAGTTTGATCGCAGAAGGGTTGAAAGATTTGGAGTGGCGGTTTGTCTTACACACAGGAAGCGCATAACGACGCCCAGAAGGCAACAGAGAAAATTCACCTGCCAAAGCATGTCCCGGAGAGGCTAAGATACTCGCTGCCTTCCGAACTATTTGTTGGTTACAGAAGACATTACGGTATCTCTGTTTCACACCGATAATTTTAGAACAGATTTTTACAATGTTGTTCAGGCTATTCCTGTCTTTAACTGTCAGATTGTGAAACCAACAGATAGAAGAAAAACTTAAAAGACTCTCAATAAAAGACTGGTAAAATCTACACAGGATGACCGGCGTGACAGAAGGAGTTTAGTTTGCGGAGGAGATAAATTCTCTGTTGCCCCCGCTTCACGATGGCAGTGCTGTTTATATCAAACTTAAGATGGTCATCAAAAACAGTGCCCAAATATTTATATGATGAAACAATTTCCACCTTTACATTATGTATGATGCTCTCTGAAGCAGTATCTCTATTTCACCCAAAGTCAATAATTAATTATTTGGTTTTAGATACATTTAAGTCAAGGAAATGGTTATCACACCATGAGATACAGTCAATCAGAGCATTCCCATGGTCAGATACTGGATCTTGGAGGAGTGACAACAACGCAGTGTCATCGGAAAACTTGACCAAATAGCTGCTCTCCTGGGCGCTTCTGCATCCATTTGTGTACATGATAAAAAAAAGCGGTGAAAGGACACACCCCTGAGGTGATCCTGTAGAGAGCAATAAGGGGTCTGATAAATGACCATTTACAGATACCCTCTGCTCTCTAACAGTTAAAAAATATAAAATCCATAAAACAAGTTGGTGAGGCAAGTTAAAATCACACAGCAGCTTGTCTATTAAAATATGTGGTTGCAATGTATTAAAAGCTGAAGAAAAGTCTGCAAACAGAACTATACCCCAGTCGCCCACTGCTATACCCCAACACGTCTCGCCGGCTGTGTCCTGATACTTGTTCCCCTAACTAACTTGCTTCCCTATCTAACTTGCTGCGCAGCAATAATAAACAAACACACTTCAGCAAATGTCCTTTGAATGCTTTAATCACGGCCCAGAGATCTTCCTGAGCAGTTCTCCGAGATTAATCTGTGAGTCTAGCGATCTACTACTGGTGCGTCCATCCGCTCGTGAGCGGTTCGTCTCAGTGGACTGCGGGGCAAATGCTCCCCAGACAACGTTGTGAGACTGCACTGTTTGTTCTGCTGTCATTTTTTTTATATGTCCCTTCTGATTTGTTTTTCTTTTGGTTGTTTTGTATTTGTAGATAGCTTTACACTAATGCTGGTGTCTAGGTGTAGAGTGGCTAATCTCAGAGCTGTCACTTAACGTGAGACGTGCTGTTAATGGTGTACATTAGCCCCACCTTTTGTTATATCGCCACCAGCAGTTTGTTTGCACTGTTTGTGTTTTTACTGGCAATTTGGTGTAAACCTCTTGGGCTACACCAGTCTATCTAACTTCTGTGGCCAGTAACTCGCCAATTGTTGACCTTCTTTATGGTTTGAACTTGTTCTATTATAATTTGTTGATAAATGTGTGTCTGTTGGCTAATTGCGAAATATATAGTGTTTTTGTTTCAGGAGCTGAAGGCCCCCGGTGTAGGGAAGCTAGCTGTCCTTGCCCTTTTTCTGTGGTGTTTCCTTCACCGAGTGTTTTGCCGTTGGCACCTGCGTTTCCCTCACTTGTGTGTTTTACAGTTATATACAATTGTGTGAGTGTGAGTGTGTTTGTGTAGAGTATAATTGGGTGAGTGGTGTGGTCTTAGGATACTCACTGCTCAGCTAGTGGTAAGCTAAAAAACCTACTGGTAAGCCTCAGCCTGAAATGTTTTTTTTTTCTTCTTTATTTTCATTTTTGGTCTGGTGCACACTGAAGTCAACAGCTTTTAAAAAAAAAAAACATTTTATATGGTTATTGTTTTGAAAATAAAAGTGTTTTGTATTCAAATCCACGTCTCCTGTCTTCCGTGGAAGCGAACCTGTGTGCCTTGTGAAATTTCCCCGTTCACGTAAATGGGGTGGTGTAGTCTGCTCTTTATCTTGCTCCATTTTGTACATTAGTGTAATTTTTGCCCTTCCCCGCCATATGAACATTAATAACTCATGGTTAAACCTGCAATACTTACCACAGAGTCACCAGTCCCTCTTCTGTTGCCTGAAACATAATGTCACGTTAAAGTTTATGATCAAACAGTCTCTTAATGCAGATGACAATCAGTTTTTAAAAGAGTCAAAATAGTTTTTAAATGAATGGAGACATTATTTTTGTTAACTCGTGGATTTCTCTTCACTTTTAGAGAAATAAATTTGTCCAAATTACATAATTGTTTTATCAGATGTTTTTGTCTGTAAAAAAAATAAAAAAAATATGAAAGACTCACCTGCTCTTTTTTTACGAATCACCCAGAGAAAAAGAGCCAGAAGGAGAACAGCGAATGAAGCGGCAACAGCAATCCCACCCACAAGCCCTGAGTCTGAGAGAGAGAGAGTAAACAGAGAGACACCATTAGCAGGACTATATTACTGTTTAACCAAATACATAAAAACAACAACATTTAATAGCATAATTATCCTTATTTATCATGAAGTAAATTGATGCTTGTGATGATGATTTCATATATAGTTCAGTAAGTTTCTGTCAGAGATTATTACAGTGATGGTCCTCTGAGATACTGTTGTCACTTCATAGTTCAGCAGCTATAAAGTGTTTATTATATTAAAGCTTCAACTAAAAATACAGCAACGACACAAACAATATCAGTATATATAGATGCTCTCTGCACACACAAGATCTCTCGCTCACTTTCCCTCTCGCGGTTTGGAGCACAGTCTCTGTCTCGCTCTAGATTCCCGGAGATTTTAACTAATTTGCGGCATGACTAGTCGATCACGAGTGGCTCAACACGTAGATATATAGATAAAATCATCTTTCAGGCATTTGACCGACCAGGTTGACACTTCAGCGTGAGAAATCGTGGCGTGTGAGCGTGTGAAACCAATCAAATGAGTGTGTCTCACGGCCAATGCGTGAGAGTTGGCAGCTCTGTTATTTTAGAGAGTCAATTATAGAGAGTCTGGGCCAGATGTACTAACGCTTTTGCGCCCACTTCAGGCGTATTTCAGTGCGCATAAAACCATGGCGAGGTGTGTACGAACGGGACGCACCGAGATGAAAGCGCAGACTGCCTGTCTCGGGAACTGAAAATGGCAAAATGTGCTTTTCGTGTCATGCACATGCATTCATGGGATGGTCAAGGGGAAAGTGGGAGAGTCACATAAAGAGATGGGATGGGAAGCGTAAACTGCGGCTAATTATGTATTCCGCGTTATCTTCAGAAAAAGTCAGTGAAAGCGCGCCTCTATTTTGCGCTGAAAATTCTCCGCCTCTTAAAAGCAGGTGTAACTTAGGAAGCGGGTTTATGGCGTACGCCTCCTGGTGGCTGCAGTAATCCGAGCCAGACGAAGACAGAGGCGAAGGAGACGAGCTGAGAAGATTTTTGCCACAAGAATCACACTTTTTCAGTTGAGTGAAAACGAAATCATTAAGCGCTACAGATTAAGCAGCTACGCAATATTACAGTTACTGGAAGAAATCAAAGATGACATTGAATCTCCGACTCAGCGTTTACATTCCCTTCCAGCAGTTGTTAAACTCCTCGCTACATTACAATTATTGGCATCAGGATCATTTCAAACAGCCATAGCATCAGCAGTGAGAGGAGGAGACCCATTCAATTGTGCGTTTAACCCTCTGGGGACCAGAGTGTTTTTGGGGCCCTTGGGATGTTTTGACATGCACTGACATTTGTGCTTTTTTCAGTTATTTATAAACATGTTAATGGCAAAGGTGTAAATTCACTCTATATAGCACAAACTTGGCTACCATGATGAGTGAGCAACATGTATGTACATGTTTGTATTTTTAATAGAATAATGTTTATGCGTGGTTATTGAAAAAAATAAAAATGAAAGTTGCTGAAATAAGACCACAAAACACATATTGATTATTTCTTCACAAGACTTTTGAAAATTGTATCACATAGCCTAGAATATTTGCTCCAAAACTATGTGAGAATCATCCTGACTACTCATTCAGATAAGTCAATAAAGTCTTTTACATTTTTAATGACGTGTTTTGTTTGAGAAAGCTTTATGCAGGAGGCGTGGTCTCTCATTAATATGTGTGGAATTTCACACCTGAGAAAGACAAAGACCCTCCCCATAATGGCCCTATTAGGTGCTATCAGGCCATATCATTACAGGAGCCTTGCACAAAGAATGAGGAGATTTAAAAAAGAATGGCTTTTAGATTGTTTGGATTTATATAAGGAAAATACAGGGTGCATACGTCTGGACACTTCTATCACACACCCTTCACCATATAGACATGGTTTTATTTCAGTTCAAAGTTCAAAGTTAGAGTTGGAAACATCTTGAAAAGAAAATTGTCTTTCTCCATAAATGTCTTAGTTTGATCATACATATTTCAAAGTTGAGGATTCATTATTTTGATATAGCTTGAACAAACACTATAACATCTTAGTTGATTAGTTTATTGACAAAACATACTATATATTTAACATATGAGCAGAAACTCCTAAAAAAAGCTTATTTGATGTCTATTTTAGAGTAAAAACTTTATCCAAAACGAGTCAACGAAATGTTATTTAGTCTGTAACAGTGCGTATCTGTGCGTTCATTCATTCATTCACACACACACACACACACACACACACACACACACACACACACACACACACACACAAACATGATTCACATTTAACAGTACGCTATTTTTCCGTTTACAGACACTAACGTTATTCTATATCGCGATTAGAACAAAGCACTTGCAAAAAACACTTACTTCTCAGCTGAATCTGTTCATCCTCGCAGTGAAAATAAACCCAGTGGTAAATGTCCCAGGATTGTTCCTCATATAGCCGCGCAAGACGACAGTAGATTAATCTGACTAAAAAATAATGTGTGTTTTCAGAGTTTATGGGCGTTAACGCGTCTCAATGTGTTGCTTCACATATTTGCGTTTGAATAGCGCGTGCTCTCCGTGGGCGTGTCACATTACCAGTGATAATCAGCTGAGAGAACGATAATGAGACGGGCTGACACGTCTCTCTTTTTATATAGATGACATAAACGGAGAATATTAATTTTAGTTTTGAATCGGATCATTTAAAAGTACAAACTCAAACGATTTAAAAGATATATTGCTTATGGCTGGGTGAATAGTATTAGCTGAGTTGTGTTGAAGATTAGAGACGTGCTCTAGAAAAAAAGTTCACGGTGACTGAGAGGCAGAACGCACACCCTGTTTATTTTCTTTATTTTACAAAAGCACAATATTTTATTTCGATTGTATGTGGGCACATAAAAAAGTAGACATTTAACAGATTATTTTCTCATATTTCTTAACTCTATATGAACAGAAATGATGGTAGTACTTTAAGTCTATTTTTCTGCTATGTGAAAAAAAACGACCAAAACGCGCCCGCGCGTTTCTGGTCCCCAGAGGGTTAAATACACTCAGTTTACGGTATAGTGTGTGTGGACAGGCGCTGATTACCTGATGAACTGCAGGTTTGGTACATAACACACACGCTGCGGTTTCACATCAAGAGCTTTCTGCGTCTTGGCCATGGCGCTATTAACGCTGCGTTCGCAAATATACGTACATCTGGCCCTCTGTGCGCTACAGTACTCTGTTTATGGTTGCACTTGCACTTATTAAGACTTAATAAGAAAATACTGTTATTTATTTTTGTTATTTATACTGTTTTTATTTCATCTTCAATCAGAAGATCTGGAAGCTCATAAATGTACAGGAAGATCTGAAGAGACTCATGTTAAATCATACAGGAGAAAAGCCAGTTTGTGATAAAACCTTTTGCAGTCCTTGTTGGCTTTCAATGCATATGATAATTCAGAAAGTAGAACCGAAATGACATTCATTAGAAGAATATTAGTTTAAACATTTTAATGCACCTGCACACTATTTTTTCCATTCATGATTTTTTTCATTGAGTGTTTCCATAAAATATTGTTCTCGTGAGACTCAGCCGCCTAATCTCGTGTCTCGTCTCGTCCCGTGAGATAAGTGTCTCGTCACTCCCCTATTGTTTAGGATTGTCTGGATGAGAATGATGTATCTTTGATATTTAATGACAATCAATATTTGTGATCAGCTGTTTGAACAACTCCAGAGAGGATTCAGATACTGATTCTATAAACTCTATGAGTCGATCAAATGAGGATGATGTTCATACACACCTGGACTCAGAGAGTTTGCTGTGGTGTCTGGAGTCAGTGCTGTTACTGTGGTTGATGTAGTTGTAGTTACAACTATTAAAAACAAGATGGAAATAGAAATATGTCATATTTTAATTCATGAACAGAATGCCAAGGCATTTCTTTTACAAAAATAAATCCTCACTATGATTTTATTAATTTATCATGGGATGGCATGAGATACACTATCGGTATAATATTTATAATTAATTTGCATCAGACAACAGAAAGTACAAGTCATATGTATGTATCAAAATGTCATAGACTCACTGACAAATCTGACTAAAGAGCTACTTTTTGTAGATAATATTTGTGATGATAAACCAGTCTGTGAGAGCCAGTGCAAACCACTGAAGCGAGAGACTGATGATGTGTGATCAGAAACTGATTCTAGAAAACTCCAAACTCGGGGTGATGAGGATGATGTTCATACACACCTGGATTCAGAGAGTTTGGTGTGGTGTCTGGAGTCAGTGCTGTTACTGTAGTTGATGTAGTTGTAGTTACAACTGTTAAAAACAAGATGGAAATAGAAATATATCATATTTTAATGCATGAACACAATATTTCCTTTAGAGGTTTCAATACTGAATTCATGGATTGATCAGGCTGATTTTACTGTGGTGTGATCAAACCACTGAAGCGAGAGTGATGATGTGTGCCAGTGGTCATGTGATCATGAACCTTGTGTAGAAGCTGTTGCTGTAGTTCGGCTTGATGTCTTCTCAGAGTTTGATCTGCTGACTGGAGTCAGTGTTGTTGAAGAGACTGGAGCTGCAGAAGATGAATGTTCAGACGCATCACCTGTAGGACATTAACATCATATCTTCACATTGATCATGACATGCAGTTTGTGTTCAATCATCACAGCTTACAGTGACAGTAGTTGAGAAGAGAGATGTTACTGTATCATTTATTACTGGTTTATATGAGAGTGAAACACAGTTGAGCTGCTTCCCATAAACCTTCAGCTTTCCTGAATGAAGGACATTATTAAGCCTTATAATTCCTAAAGCTGACCTCCTACATGGGTCATAGGCTTTAATAGATTTATGTAATATTTCATGTGTGACCCATGTAGGAGGTCAATATTGGGAATTATAAGTTTTTTAAATGCAGTTTATGACTTTGATAATATTATTAATAATAAATATTATGACTAATATTTTACAATTCCAAAATGTATGAATTCAAAGTCATCATAAAGAGTAGAGCCAGTCTGTGAAAGTTTTCACAAATCTGTCTTCTAACAGTGTTTTCTCACCTGAATACTTGACAGTGTATCTGACTGAGGTCTTGAGTTGATTTCTGAGAGTAAGCTGACATCTCCACTCTCTGTTGGCATCTTCATTCAGGAGTGTTGTAGTCAGAGTGATGATGATACAGCGATATTGATCTGATGATGATGATAATATCTGATATCTGGAGTCTGTCTTCAGATCAACACCAGTCTGATTCACCCACAACAGCTCAACTCCCTCAGAACGAGCCCAATCATCACAGGGGGATCCAGAATACAACTGACAGGAGAGAGTCACAGAGCGGCCTGGACTGATCTCAGTCTGTGAGGATGAAGATGATGATGATGATGATGATGATGATGGAGACACGGAAACTGAACACAAGACACAAATCACAGACTCTTCAATCATCATCTGAGTTTAATAAAGAATCTGCCCTTTTTATATTGACCATATAATCATAAACTTACCATGAAGAACATGCAGAAGAACACGTGCATCAGTTCCATGTTTCTGTCCGTTCTCATATTGTCTGCAACTGTATAATCCAGAATCTTCTTCTTCTGTGACGTTCTTGATGTTCAGAGAGCAGTCAGACTCCAGACTCAGTCTCTCATGTCTCTCTGTGTATTTCTTCTTTATCCCTAAAGTAATCAGTTCAACTGTCCCTGAGTGTCTGAATCTGTTAGAGTAGATCCATGTAGTTGATTTGCAGCCAGAAAGAGCTTTATTACAGGACAGACGGACATTTCCACCAGAACTGATGAACACATGATCATAATCCACTCCACTGGTGCCTGAAACACAGTAGATCTCAGTGATCATTATGATATTTAATAATAAATTAAACCATAAACCATACCAGCATAACAAGCAGAAGATTCAAATCATACAGTCTTTTTCCGGTAACGCTTTACAATAAGGGTATATGAATAATCATGCACTAATACCTGAATTAATACTTAATTCAACATGATCTAATGATAATTAAAAGCAGAGGTGTAAAGTCCAGGTTCAGAAAGTAAAAGTCCTCCTCAGTATTTTGTTCAATCACCTGGATTTGCTAATTAGCAGTTTTCCAGCCGGAGAGAGAACTAATTAGTGGAATAAACATATGGCAGGACTTTTACTTTCTGACCCCTGGACTTTACATCTCTGATTAAAAGCCTGAACTAATCATGAACCAATGAAGAGTTATCCTGAACTACGACTGGAGTCATTATGGATTCACACATGAATAACGGCAGCCTTCACTACATGTTATACATGTTTGATAATTAATGCATTCATTAACATTCATGGATAAACCAAATCTATGGAAGTAAAATAATGCCATATGTTTTTTAAATAAAAAAAAGCTTGTTGAATTGCACTACTAAAATATGCATTGCATTAACCCTGCTTGCATTTTAATGGATTGTATTTTTAGGGCTTGCATTTTTATGGGTTGAAATTCAACATGGTTGAATATTTAAGCTGTGAATATTTCAATTCAAAACATTTCAAACACATTTTCATAATTAAAAATTCAATAATCCATATTCACCTTTCGTATTTCACTTCCAAAATATATACTGACCCAGATAATCATCACAAAAACTTAATGCATGCTAAATTGCTGTAAATTAGTTTTTATGAATGAATGGCTCTAACTGTTCCTCTGGTCTTCGTCAACAACACGCGCTTGCACCCCCTGCTGGTGAGGATGACTAACAGCAGATGGAGATAATGCTCTGTAATCTACTGCTTTTCCTGCAGCTCCTGGATGTCAAACGTTGAATTTACTGTCGAATTTGAACCACTGAATTTGTGGAAGCGAATTTGCAAAGCCAAATAAAATGGACCGAAAATTGCCTGTTGGATATTATAGGTTGTATTTTTGAACAGTTTGAATATTTTGGAAATGAAATATGAAAGGTGAATATGGATTATTGAATTTTTAATAATGAAAATGTGTCAGAAATGTTTTGAATTAATATATATTCAAAGCTTAAATATTCAACCATGCTGAATTTCAGCCCATAAAAATGCAATGCATTAAAATGCATGCATCGATGCATCCAATGGTTATTGCAATGCATTTTTTTTTTTTTTTCAAGTAGTGCAATTCAACAGACTTTTTTGTTTCAAAACAATTTGGCATTATTTTACTACCATACAAATCAAACTGCCTCTTTTAGTAAGGAATAAGAAGTACCCTGATTTTGAAACAAATGTAAATAGTTTATAGTTTAATATCATATGCAGCTTTGTCATAAACATTACTGGACGGCACAGGATTAGTTGATCCTCCTCTTCAACCGTAGAAAATACACTAATACCTGTCATTAACAGGGTTGCCAACTTTGGGACTTTGGCTGGAGTGAGACTGATTTAAAAAATGTCAGTCCTTGTTTAGCTACTTAGTATAAACCCTGATTTATGCAACAAAACAAACAAAAAAAACTAATAGAATGGAAACGCTTTTTCAAAATGTACAATTAATTTATTGATTGCAGTATAAAAAAATAAAGATAAAAAAAATAGATTAAGAAAGCCGCCGCTGGTCACATATTAGATTGATTTGTTTTGTTTAGATGATCATAGGCGTAATTTGCGGGTGAGACGGATGGGACATGGCCCATGCATATATCAACTGTCACTAAAAATCAGTGGTAAAACGTGAGGAAATGCTAGATTTTTTATAGCTTTTTTATTAAGTCTAATGAAATACACTGACATCTTATTTTTGTCCTTTCAAAAGTTACTGAATGCCCTGCCTATATTAGCCTACAGTAATCGTAATTCTATTTAAAACATATTAATGTACATATATATTTTATAATGACATTATAATTGCACATTTGTTTATATACACACTATAAATGCATATATTTGAAAATAATTAATTTTAAGTGATTATAAAGATATATTGCTCTTTAAGATATATTGATCTTATTGATATAAGATATATTGGGTGAATAGTATTCGCTGAGTTTTTGTTTAAAGGTCCCATGACATTTTTTAACATTAATATGAGTTCCCCTAGCCTGTATATGGTCTCCCAGTGTCTACAAATTTCAATCGGTGTAACCCGAGCTTTGGCTATCTTTCTCTGCCTTTGAGAAAATGAAAGCTCAGACGGGCTGATCTTGAATCTCCTGCGTATGACGTCATACGGAGGAAAGGTTACCTCCCCCTTCTCTGCTTTGCCCATCCAGAGAATTTGTCTCGCCCATGAGAAAATGAGCTAGGAAGTACGAACGCGCGAGCACGATTTGAGTTTTTCCTCGAGAGATATCATGTCTTGCAAACGAGCGAAGCATGGCAGTTGATCAGTGTTCGGATGTACAAATGAACACAGAAGTATTTTTTAGTTCCTTCATCCGAGCCTCTGAAGAAACAATGGGTTAATTTTATTTTCTCTGGAAATGCGCCGACACAACTTCCCAAAGTTTTGTATGGTCCAAACATTTCACCGACGACTGTTTCCTCAACTTGGGCCAATACAGAGCTGGCCTCGATGAACGTCTGAAAATAAATCATCGAGCTACCAGGCAACAATTTCTGATGTGTAATTGTTCAAGTTCACACATGTAATCTTTCTCTCAAAATTGTTCAATACTGTTTATGCATAAGTCAAGCCAGTGACTAAAATATCAACTTCACATCTTTTCTTAGTAGGATGAAAATAATCTTATTTAAATTGTGAACAAATTATATACGAAGAACAATCTTTCCACACAGCGCAAGTTTATTTGGACAACTCGTTATGAAATCAATGACGCTCGTTACACTGCACAACGAAGCTCTTACTGTATGTACATCATCGTGTTTGCATTGGTGAAAGCAGAGAGAGTGCAGAAACTGCGTTGCAATGATAAGATCTTCATTCTCGCGATCAACACACAGTCATCTGCTCAATGCTCATCACGGCTACATTTTATGTGATGGGATTAGATCTAAATACTTTAAAAACTTCTCACGATTAGTTAATCTCGATAACTGTGATAGTAAAAACGTATAATAGCTGTAGTAAAAGTATTCGAGAGAGTTTCACATGTAATATGTAGCTATTTCATATGCAAGCATGTCAGCCAATCACAGCAGTGGGCGGTTACACTGAATCCCACACAGACACGCCCCTTCAAATCAGAGCGTTCAAATCCGAGGCTAAAATCAGGCTAGGAAAAATGCCTTTTATTTCTAAATTATGACTATTTTTGATCTAAAAAAACATACTAATATTATAAGGGCAACCCAGGAAACATTATAAAATAATAAAATAACCCCAATGTCAGGGGACCTTTAAGTTTATAGACGTGCTCCAGAAAAAAAGTTCATGGAGACGGAGAGGCAGAAAGCACATCCTGTTTATTTTCTTTATTTTATAAAAGCACAAAGTTTTGTTTCGATTGTAAGTGGACACATAAAAAAGTAGACATTTAACAGTTTATTTTTTCATATTTCTTAAGTCTTTCTGACCAAAAATGCTGCTATGTGAAAAAAATCCAGCAAAACGCGCCGGCGCGTTTGTCGACCCCAGAGGTTTAACAAAACTAAGGCAAGTAAAACGGTCAGGGTTACATTTTAGACACACACACACACACACACACACCTCTGAAGGGATAGAAAAGTCCTCGGGACTTGGTACCGCATCACTCGCAAGACGCAACCTGGATTGGTGAACAAGGCCGAAGTCCACCATTCTCCAGTTCTCGAAGCTCTCTCGCTATACACACACATAGTTAAGATGTGTCCGTGGTTGATGGCCAAACCAACCACCCGCGGCCAGAGTCTAGCCCTGGCAGCATCGCGGGGAAAGATAACTTTTGCTCATCTACCGCGCGATATCACAGTTTGACATGTCATTGGAAAGATCCACGTGGTGTCATGAATTATTAAGAGACAGTGTCGTCTCATAGGATAAGAAAACTCAGTCTCATGAATAATTAAGAGACACCGATGAGTCATCAAAGCACTCACAGTGCACTGCCGACACGATGAAGATTTTAAACCCGGAAGACAAAAATAGCGAAAAAAACCCCTCAAATTTAACCATTTTCCCCCTACTATTAAATCGAACAGATGCTAACATTGTCTACAATTGTGTTCAACACACATACCTCTGTTAAAATCTCAGAAAATTGGGTTTAGGGTTTCATGACCCTTTAATGGTAGTCTAGTCATCAACAGAATATTAACGGATTGAGAGGGGAGAAAAATGGATTTTGGCGTGACATTTCTTGCGTGTGCGTGAGATCGATGCTGAAAGTGCGAGTGTCACGCCAGATGCGTGAGAGTTGGCAACCCTGCATTAAAAGCTCTTTATCTGTTCTGTGTTTCTCTCTTTCCTTCAAAACCCACAGAGAATATGTGTGGAACAGTTCCCAAAGGAACGAGCAAAACTGGGAACATGGTGAGGGAAGGTTTGCTGGGATCAGTAGTTCACTCTCCACTACTGGGGGAACCACATGCCGAGAGCACCTAAAGTGCGCCACTAATAAGCGTCTCACCAGAAACAAACCCTACATACTGTAGTTCCAGGAAGAAAAGCGAAGAAAGAAACGTTTATTTAGCTGTGCATAAGTCACAGCGGGGTGAGTTTGAAGGAAAGATGAGCTATGATTCAAGCTATAATGATATTCAATTATTTAAATGTGTTTCAAAGTCAGGGTACTTGTAATGATTTCCATTACACGAGACACTGTAAAAACAAACCTATAGAATCTACCCAATAAAATTGAGGTAACAATTTGCACTCACTTTGTTTGGGTAGATTTCATCCCATATTTTTGAATAAAGTGTACCTACATTTAATGGCTATGACATACTAAACAAAATTAGGTAAAGTCTACCTAATATTTTTCAATACGATACACAGCTAATTACTGAGTAACAATTACTCTATTGTTAGCAGGCAAAAGTCCATCTACTTAATTTTTATTAATAATAATAAGTCAATAGAAATAATTAAACATTACTTATTCAGAGATGGTTAAATTTACCTAAAAATGGCCAGACACAGGATATCTCATGTATTACTTTTTATTGACCAAAAAACAAACATTTCAAACTAACAAAGGAACTACAAAAGAGTCCTCTTACATTAATATGACTCACATTACATACAACTTCTTCAACACTGTCCATTTAAAAATAATGGGAAGTCAGAATATACATTAAAAGCAACAGTCTTAAATTTCTCACACATTTTGTTATTTCAAACACAAAGAAATACACAATTTGATGTAATGTGTGGTGGTGGATCTGAAATAAGAGCAGAGGCTGATCTCATTTACCTCAAAGGACTGACATGCTATATGGATACAAACAAACATTTAATTTTTTTATAAACTTAACACAAATTAATAAAAAATAACCATTATTCAACATTAAATTTTAAGCGACATACAACTTAATATCACTCACGTGATAACACTTTACAATAAGGTTTCATTAGTTAACATGGTTAAATGGTTAGTTCACCCAAAAATTAAAATTCTGTCATCACTTAGGCTACTCACCTTCATGTTGTTCCAAACCCATAATAATTTCATTCAAAAATAAAGATCTTTTTGATGAAATCTGAGATATTTCTGTCCCTCCATTTGCAGTCTACACAACTACTGTACCACTTTGAAGCTTCAAAAAGTTCATAAAGAGATCGTAAAAATGTTCTGAAGAAAGACAATCACTTGTGATGAACAGATTACATTTAGGCTTTTATTAACATATTAACATTAATCAACTCCCACATCAGTTATGGTAAACGGAAGCTAAAACATGTTCCCTTGATCTGCGAGAACCAATGAGGTTAATTCTCGTGTTACGCAGCATGTTTGAGCTTCAGCAAGAACCAATGAGCTTCTGTTTGTTCGCTGATCAATGTTTATGTGAATAAAAGCCTAAATGTAATATGTTTGTCATATAAAATGATTGTCTATCTTCAGACAATTTGAACTAAACCGCTTAATGTGTCAATGGAGGGAGAGAGAAATCTCTCAGATTTTATTAAAAATATCTTTATTTGTGTTCTGAAGATAAAAGAAGGTCTTACAGGTTTAAAACGACATGAATGTGAGTAATTTATGTCATAACTTTCATTTTTGGGTGAACTATCACTCTAACTACTTTAGTTAACATGAACGAAGAATGAACAACACTTCTACAGCATTTACCAATAAATTATTATAATAAAAAGTTTTAATTTTTAACATTAGTTAATGCACTGAGAACTAATATGAACAATGAATGACTGTAGATTAGTAAAGATTAATAAATACTGTATTGCTCATTAATAGTCCATCTTAATTAATGCATTAACTAATGCTAACAAATGAAACCTTATTGTAAAGTTTTACCACTTAGCCTACGTTATAAAACTTCTTCAACACTTCCCATTCAAAATAAACGCCTTCATGGGATGAAACATTCTGTGGTTGAACTTATAATTCTTCTTGCACGGTCTTCAAATGTTTTCATGAAGATCTTTCTGTGGAAGAAAAAAAGTAAGACATTTTTTAATTATACATTTTTGATTATAGATTTAATCAAGACATAAATTAACTGCATTTAGGCTTAAATCAATGTAAGCTTGCTTAAAAAACAACAAGACTGCTTTTACATGATGCACAATTACATCTGCATGATGCAAAATCAAAAGAGGAGAGCAGCAGTTAAAGTTAGGTGATATGCTAGCATAATATATGAACAATTTTGTGTACGTTAAATATTTGTAAAGGAGGATATGGATAACAAATTAAGCACATCGCGAAACCATGCATACGAAAAAAATTAACAAATTACCCAAATATATTAACACCAAACCGTTTTTGACATAGGGCCAACATTAAATGAAAGAACCCAACAGAAAGGCACACAATAATTATCATATCCGTCAATAATAAACAAAAACAAAAGTAGGCCTACTTTATAATTTGATCCCTTCTAACACACATATCATCATATAAATGCAAGGAAACCACATTAACGTTAACAGTTTTACTGCTATTATTATTTTCTCTACGTTAACGTTACCCTGTCCTCAGAACGTCAACAGTCTCTCTCTGTAACTTACAGACGCATTGCGCGCTGCGACTCTGTTGTGTTCACTAATTTCAGCCATGTACATAACACTAATGGCATATGGAAGCGAATATTTTACTCATGAATGTAGATTTTTACTCGCATTTGCAGGTGTATAAGACCCTGTAACTTAGCTATCAACGCGAAATCGACCAACCTCAGACTAACGTTAACGTTAGATATCATCAGCTTTGGGTGTGGCGCCGAAAGGATAACAGAACACAGAAGCGAGCAAATTACAAATCTTTTGGTAAATTTTACTATTAAATAAGTTAACATTTGCGTTATATTATATCAACACGATAAACAACAACAAACAAACAAAATAAACTTACCTAGAGCTCAACACTTCGTCGTCTCGCTGGAAGACGTTGAATTTGAATTCCGTGATTCCCGCATGGACGTTGAAGTTGGCGCATGCGCAATTTGTGACCACTGAACTAATATAATGGGGTATGTTTTACTCATTCTTTTAAGGTTGCAGATATTACTTTTAATAAATAGGTAGTGTAGTTAGAATGTACTCATTTTTATATATTTTACTTGCTAACTAATATACTTAAGTAAAATATAACTGATTTGCACAGGTTGTATTTAACACCCTCCTGCATAATTTTTTACAGTGAGATATTAAACCTCATGCTGATTTGTACCCGGCTTTCGCCAAGATAAGCACAAACTAAGACGTAGCTTTACAGTAACCTATGCTTCTCTTTCTTTCCATCTCTCCATCCATTTACGCTTCTTTCCATATGGTGATGTGAATCTGCATGTTGTGTCCGGAGGAAACTATGGATATCTCACTTAGCTGAAGTCATTTCAGAGGCCACAGACTCACGGAGCGATTGGGATTTCACAACTCACACTTTATTCCCCCCTCCTGTAACTGTCTGTCAGACACGATCGTCCGTCCACAGCGTTACTAACTAAACAAAATAACTTAAAGCTGCAGTCGCAGTTTTTCCTCTTTGTCGCCATCTCTGTTCGAAATCTGCAATTATTCGCAGAATTATCAACTTTACGTGAGTTGTGCCTCGGCACGGCACAGCGCGGATGAACACAATGTTTTGAGGAGACTGTGAGGCTGTCAGTCACCGCGCCGGTGTGGATACTGGCATTCGCAATCACAGATGATACTTTTTGGAAGTTTGACCAACATAATAATTTTCACCCTAAAATGTCATCTGAACAAGTGAGTAACATTCACTTGTTTTCCAGACCAAACTGGAAAAAAAAGCATTGCAGTAAATAGTGCTGATTAAATCTAACGATCGATTATTATATCACGTCCGTAAAATTATATTATCATAACCTTACAAATTATACTTTGTTCTCAAATTGTTAATGGATAACTAAACCCCTGGTCAGAGCCTGACTCCACCCACTAGCAATATTTGAAAAATGCTGCACTAGCCACCGTTCAACCTGAAGAGGGCAGCACTCAGGCGTTTTTACACCATATTGTAGAATTAAAACACTTTATATCCAAATGTCCAAAAAATTACTTGAATCAATGAACAGCATTAATAAAGCCCCAGTATTACAGATCATTAACTAAAAAAAGTTGTTTTAGGGTTTAGTTACCCTTTAATGTTAACAACGTCAGCATTGGGTGACTACATTTAAAGCCCTTCAGATATTTATCCTTGTTTTCGCAGGGGCCGGTTGCAGTCTCTTTTTCCAAACTCTCAGTCCAAAGTCTTTTGCATTTTACAGCGGGTGAGTCTCTAGTTGTCACTGATGATCGTCGTTTGAACCTTTCTGGATCCGCCATCAAATTGATAAGTTTAATTAAATCAAGTGCTGTGAGAAAAGGCTATAAATCTCCACCTCCAGCATCGTCCAGCAAATTTTTTTTTCATCACACTCTGCACGTATGTTTTAAAAAACATAATTTAACATTTAAATAGTCCTAACACTTTTTAAATAGCCCACTTTAAGTGTTCATTACAAATAAATAAATGACTAAATGCTTAAAATGAACAAATGTAATAAAATGAAAATTTGCGTTACATTTACAATCCTGTGAAAACAGTTCTTCCCGTGTCTCTGGTTTGATTTGGTTTATCCATAAATGTTAACGAATGCCGTTTACTATCAAACATGTACTAACATGTAGTGAAGGCTGCCGTTATTCATGCGTGAATCCATAATTTGTAGTTCAGGATAACTCTTCATTGGTTCATGATTAGTTTGTGCTATCATTAGTTCACGTTGAATTTAGTATTAATTCAGGTATTAGTACATGATTATTCATATACTCTTATTGTAAAGTGTTACCCTTTTTTCTTCACTTAAAGCAAACAACACACTCTCCAGAATAAACTATTAGTCTTTATCAGAGAGCTGTTCAAATCACTGACACACTCTTAATATGAAGATCATTCTTCATCATCAGATGTTTGAGTGACACTATGTCCAGTATCAGGAATAATACAGTATGATCTGTGTGTATCAATACACAACTCTGAGATCACAACGTGAATGTGTGCAAGAATAAACTGAGCATGTTCAAATGAACTCTTTCCAGACTAATTCCACTAAATGTGTTTAGAGAAAATACAGATTTCTTTACCTGTGAGAAGTGAAGAGAGAATGATCAGTCCCAGCAGACACAGATCACACTTATCAGACATTTCTGTTTCTGTCAGTCTTCCTCTTCATTAGATATAGTTACAGCTCTTTCTCTTCATTATATACAGTTACAGCTCCTCCTTTAAACATCATCAGCTCCTCCTGTGGTTGGTAACTTCCTCTGATCTCATCAACTGAGTGTTTAGTCCTGACTCTATGATACAGCTGAAGAAGCGATCAGAAAGATCTCTGGTGTGAAACTGTGTTGACTTTGTGCCGTTACACGAGTCGTTTGTGTTTCAAATTGCTTGAGTAATTTTTATGTGTCCATTTTTTTTTTGTGTGTGTGCGTGAGAGTGAGTGAGTGAGAGAGAGAGAGAGAGAGAGAGAGAGAGAGAGAGAGAGAGAGAGAGAGAGAGAGAGAGAGAGAGAGAGAGAGAGAGAGAGAGAGAGAGAGAGAGAGAGAGAGAGACATACATTTGCACTTTGTGAACACAGAGCATGACATAGTATAAGGGAGAGTAAACAATAAATTACTGTATAACATCAGGTTGATCAGAGATGCATCAGTCCAAGGGAGATTGATGGCATCAAATACAGTATTTTACATTACAGTATGTATGCCATGTGATACTGCAAACAGATTACCATGGTAGAGACATTACTGTAACTCACCCTTCATCTGTAAAGGTCAACTACAGTATAGATTCAGTCGTATGGTACAGTGAGAACATTTACTGAATTGGCCTTCCCACATATCAATGTTTGTCTGGCACAGCGCGGTCCACAAAGCCCCTTTTCCCTCGGTCCTCATGCCCCAAAGAATGACTAGACAAGGATTAAAGATAAGGGCCACACATGGGCCATAACTGGCTGACAGGATTCATGCCATTGCTGACATCAGGCCAGCATGAGGTCACATTCAGGCCAAGACCGCTTGCTATGTGTGTGTACTATGAAGTTTGTGCATGTGAAACCACAAATGCACAACCCCCAGAAGTGTTGCACTGACAGATGCGTCAAGATCACACTTCATATATATATACACAGCAAAAACTCCAGTGTTATATTAACTCTCCTGGGAATTTATTTTAGACCATTAGTTATCACTTCTGATTGGTTCTTTTACAGCCATTATCATGTTGTCAATAATATTGTTGTCACTATAGTCTGTAATGTACAAACAACATGATGCATCCCAACATTTTCCACACTCCTCCTTTCTCAGCAGTTAACATGTCTAACCGTTATCTACAGTGGTTAATTTGTAAAGTGGGAGGTCCCGGAGCGTAGAGGGGGGGTGGATCCGGCGACTCAAAACGGGGGTTGGAGGTAACGAAAAATAAATAAATAAAAAATATATGGGTGTTGTTCATAATCTGACGTAATGTTTGCCTCTATAAAGTATGCTTTATTAATAGGGTAGGCCTATATTATTGTGTACTAAATTTGGTGCTTCAATATCACTCACATTAAGCGTCTTAAATGCGGAAGAATGCTTGATTATGCTGCCGTTGTCTGTTTTAGCAGAATACTGCCATCTAGTGATAGCAGCTTTTCTCAGACAGCTGTGTGTGGATCATGCAAGGCGAAACCCGCGAAATGAAAGTCTCAAAATCCAAATGAATCAAATAGGATCGACTCAGAAACGAGTCAATGAATGCACGCGTGTCACCTGATCCACACATGCACGTCTTCTGTGTTGCATGTGCAAATTATGATACACTAATACAAAGGAAAACATTTGTATTCACAAAAATGTCTCTATTTGTACAAATTGCTTCACATTCATTCAATTTTGAATTTTGCACACGCAAGTTTAAAGGCATGGATAAAACATTTCTGCAACATGTATCAAGTTCATTGATAAGTGTGCTTGCACGTGTTAATCATTTTGATACTATAATCATCCCATACACGTGAAACTGCGATCTTCCGACCTTTTACTATCGTGTCAATTGATTAATATGCGCGAGAGAGAGAGCAAAACAGCGCTCGTGTTGTTTGAAGACGTGAGAGTGCGCGCGCGCGCGCGCGGTCGGGACGCTCTCTCTCTCTGCTCGTTATGCAAGCGCAGCAGTCATTCTATTCTACATCACTCACCGATCAAAAAAGGCTTTGGCGGGACAAAAAATTGCTTTGGTGACCGCCAAAAAAATTAAATGCTGGAAAACCCCTGTTATTATGTCGAAATAACGAGAATCTCACCTGAAAATCCGATAACATCAGCAATTTTAATTCAAGCAACTGATTTCTGTAAATGAATGTAAAACTAAATGTATATTGCATGCAGCACAGGGTGAAGTCAAACAGTATTTACATTAACAACGCCGAATGGCGCTGCCGGTGTGTGTAGAGAATAATGTGTTAGAATTTTAAAGACTTGGCGCTGCGCTTCTCGTCCGCTGTGCGACCCACTTAACCCTGAAAATTCACCTCAAAAACGCATCGAAACAGCAAACACAAGATTTTTGTGGAACTTCAATGGGGAATAAAGACTAACAAGACAGATAACAACATTGAACACTACACAAACAGTAATTATTAATTTGCCATAGTGACACAGGAGGTGCCGGATCCAACGTCGGAGGTGCCGGAACATGTTCCGGCGTGTTCCGGCTCAAATTAAGCCCTGGTTATCTATTCTTTATAACATCATCTGATTTGTTTAATTTCATCATCACCCATTGTCAAAGCATTCTCAGTGCTGTTTGCTATTGTTAACGTATGTTAAAGTCGGCATGAAATCAAATTTGACAAATCTTCTTTTTATGTGTAATATTGTAGTGTTTATTATAAATGATTTATCTGTGCACTTCATTATTTTTTAATCAAATACATTACCCTTCCCTCCCCCCTCGAAACGATCACTCTTCTCTTTCGGTCACGTGCAATGGCGAAAGGGTGCGGCCAGAGCCGATGAGGGTGCGGCTATCGGTGCAACGCCTCTCGGAGAAGATACATTCAAATCTGCCTCCATTTTGTTTGCAACGCCCAACCTCCATCGATCCAATAAATTCCCGAAGGACGAAATCAAGCCCCGCCCTACATTTTTTTTTTAATTTCAGAAGCCGCTTCACTCGGATAAACGTCACAACAAGGAAAAAATGACAATCTCAACTTCCGTTTCATGCCGACTTTAACAATAGCATATATGGTATGCTATAGTAATAGTAATATGGTACGTATGTTACCATAACACTGTTTCCAAATACAATACAATTTACAGTGTGGATATATTTACCTAAACATTTGTTTCTTATTTCTCATCTTTTTCACATATTGTCAGAAAAACAAATAGCAATTTAAGCCCTTTTTTGATGAGTGTTCATCTTCGGCTGCCTCTTCTCAGTCTTTTCCAAGCTGAGGTCACATTTTACAGCCATTTCCTCAACCTCTTTCCACATAGCCTCAAAATAGGCCTCACTCCTGTATTGCTCTAATGTGTCCAGCAATGATTCTACAAGAGTGACTGCTGCTGCTAGATCCAGTGGGCGGGACTGTAACATGTCCGACAAAAAATTGGACTGTCCCAGGACTTTGTTGAATGTCACTAGAACACCAATGAAACTAAGATCAAGTTGAGCTAATAAACCATGAGCATCTGTTGCCCGATCACCGTCCTTTTCCTGCCCAATTCGCTGAAGAACACGGTACACTGCTGGAAGTCTATCAAGCATATTGCGACAAGCTGAAATTCTGCAAGCCCACCTGGTGTCACTTAATGAAGGCATTTCACGGGGTTGACCACCATACATCTCTTTCTGTATGTCATGCCATTTTGTGTGCACGTAAGATCCTGATAGGAAATTATGTCATTTCTGCATGAGTGAAAAAAAGCAACCTGCCTCAGTCACCGATTTAACACTATCCACAATCACAAGATTTAAACAGTGAGCCTTACAATGCACATAAAAGGCATATTTTGCTACCTCCTGAATTCTTGTGCAAACGCCAGAGTGCTTGCCACTCATGACGGCAGCTCCATCGTAGCCCTATCCAATGAGGTTGCTACGATACTCCAGCCCATGTTTTTCCAAGCATTTTATAATCAGTCTACTTAGACCTGCTGCATCAAGCTGTTCGGCATTCACAAAGTCAAGAAAGCTCTCATTGATGGTACCATCAGGCCCGCCGACAGGGGGGGACAAACGGGTCTGTTGTCCCGGGCCCAGGGTAGGGAGGGGGGCCCAGAACTGGGCCCTCATAAAATTATGGAATAATTGTTAAAAAAAATAAAAAAAAAATAGGCATATTTGTTGAAAAAATATCTAATATTTGAGTTAAATAAAAGCTTTTTATTTGTTTTCTTCCTAATTGTCCTTGAAATAGTGGTCAAGAACCCACCCCCACCCCCAAAACAAAAATGGTTTGGCCACTGATCAAAATATGATGTTGTCATTTGATTTGAAGTTCAGTAGGCTAACGTTACGCTCAAAATGTCCGGTCAGCACAAGTCCGGTGCTCAGAAAAGAAAAGAAAAGGAAAGAAAAGAGAAGAAAAAAATAGAGGCCTTCGAGATGTCCTAAACAAATATTTTTAAAAAGGTGGTGACGGTGAAGCTGGAACTAACGTTAGTAAAGTCAACGTAGAGCAAGGTAAGAAACAGCGCAGCCAACGTTTATGAGTGTTGTCAAAGACCCGGCACCTCGGTACCAAGTCGGTACAAATTTCTTTCTTAACGTCACGCCACGGTACCAGGTTTTCTCAAACCCGGGATGCGCGTGCATGCCCAAAGCGCGTGCAGTTGCGTCCTCTTCATAAAAGCGCTGAGACATGGCGACCGGCGGTGCTGCTGCTGTGGTGGCTGTATGCTGTAAATCCACTTGTTGATAAGAAAGGAGGAAAGAGCCACATATGGAAATATTTTGGATATTAGCTCATAATAGCGACGCGGCGCGCTCGTTTTTACAGGCGCGCCTAAGTTCATTGTTGCATAGCAACGACAGACGCCACGGGAGAGCACGCGCTTGTGGAAAGGAGAAAGCGGTGCGAACTGCGCTCTCCATGATGACGAGGAAGTATTAGCAAAGAATTCTTTGATTTCTAGCCCTTGGATTAGCTTTACTACTATTTATGGAGATGAGAAATAAAAAGCCGGCTGAAATGCATCACTGTCATCATCGGTGAACAGATAATGGGTCAGATCCGAGTCTATTTTTGCTGTGCTGCTCATGCTTAAAAGTGAAA